TGTTTATTTTACTCTTGTTATAAGCACTTTACGGCTAGAGTACACTACATGCACTGATCTAAGACATTTGTATTTTCATTATGCATTATGATATACCTTTTTATGCGTGCAATAAGAATTTAAGAAAGTATTCAAAGACACACACTTTTTTGTATAAATAATGATATTTTAATAATACTACAAACACATACTTCACTGTTTTTAATACAATTCATGTATTTTCAAAATTTTAAGATGTTGTTAGTTTTAATATGTAAAAAGGTATTTGGGCTGCTTACCGAAATCAATATTCTCTGCTAAAATGTATAAAAGAGTGAAATTTTAGTTAGAAACCAAGTTTGGTAACAAATATTTAACAGCACCTAAATGAGCATTCATTGTACGTAAAATGGGCAATACATTTATATTATACATTATTTATGAATACTTGTCTGAAATATAAAGAATTCAAGTGATAAGTAATTTCAATTTTAAAGCTTCTTTTAATGTGAAGTCAGGTTTACAATTAAAGAAATCTATGAATTGTTAAATGGCCTAGATTGTTTTCACCGATATTTACCATTTACAATGCCTAACATCCGAAGACTTCAAATATATCTAGCATCAATTACCATTTGTTGAAAGTTCCCCCCTTGAATTATCTCATGATGACGAGAAAAAATTTAAGATTTATTCTTGCATGAAACGGAGTAGATCAGAAATCGTTTACGCCTTGTTCCGAAACGCGATGGATAAATGCCTCCTCGACGTGTTTCTCCGGGGAACACTTAAAATGTTGAAACTACCGTAAGCTTCGCATATACGATTCATTAAAACTTTATAATGTCCTGAACAAAAAAATATGTTTTAATTTTCCAGTGATAGGTAAACCCTTGAGTATAATATGAAATAATTATAAATGTAAGTTCTGTCAGAATAGAAATAATACGTTAGAATTAACTTTTTGTTCTATAAAAACAGATTTAAGCAGAACAGTGACAATTTCTTTTATATAAAGCTAATTAAACATCATATTTCCATAGCTATTTAGTCCAATGTGTGAAATCAATTAAAGTGAATTACAAGTTTTTTTTTATATTTTCTATGGATTTTATGAAAACGATAGAATTTGGCAGAATTTTTAAGAGAATAAAATGTGATTTTCATAAGCGTGTTGAGTGGTACTTGAAATACGTGTTTTTGTCATATTATGTTTTGTATAGCTCTGAAAATTCATTGGATGATATTACAAATGTTATAGTATCCTGTTATTTCTGGATTACATGTTTATTATAAACACTTAACGAACAATGTTATTTAATAGACAACATCCGATCACTTACGTTTTAAACTAACTTCTTACATGTTTCGTGGGCTGCAGTATTTGATATTCATTCGCAGTGTCGTTGAAATATAAAAAATATGTCTTGCTTTAAACTGAATTTAATTTAAAACTACGTCCGTTTGTCCTTCATTTAAAAATAATTTCTCTATTTTAAAGGAAGATAATCTAAGATATTACACATAGAATATCACCGGTATCCTGATTATATTAGATTTAACGATCTCACATTTACATATTTAATCAGATATTCTGTAGAGTACAATGTAATCTATTTTTATTGAAGAATTAATTGTTTCGCAAGTCGTTAACTCTTCAACGAAATTGTCCGAAATTTTACACTGTCATCTCCAACAAAGTTTACCGTTTTTATAACTAAGAGGATGGAATAATGTTATTCTTTAATATGACAAAAGAATGTCTCATACAGCACATGAATGGTTACTGTGACAAATTGGATTCTGTTGTTGTTGTTGTTGCTGTTGAATTACAATTAACTTAGCCTATATATAATTATATAAAGCTATATACCTGCTGCAAAAATAATTGTTTGAATTCTAAAGAAGCACGCTTCCAAATGCTTGTATGAAAAAAATATTGTTGTAAATTGACCTAAAAACATGTTACATGTATATCTCATCAAAAGTAATTCAATGTTTTTATTCTAAATAAAATCTTAAGTCTAGGACTTTTCAGTCAATGCTATAACGTTGTAAAGATACCGATTTAAAAAAATAAAAAAGGCACAATTAACTAAGGGTGTAAATAATAATTGTGTCACCTGACCGGGACTCAATCAACAGAATACCGTCCCGTCGCACTAGCGATAGAGTGGTCCGGCAACTTACACACCTTTTCCCTTTTCAGGGAGGAACGAGAGTTCTCTACCGAAACATGCTTTACCGCTGTTATAAAATTGAATTTCTCAGGCTACTTGTACAATGTGACATTGATTAGTCGCTCTAACCATCGCGGTCCCTGTTGATCGCCAAATGTCACAGGGTTTGAAAAAATGTGCAGCCTGGGACTCGAACCCAAAACCCTCGTGATACGCTTATACAGTGCTTTCCACACGTTAAAAATCTTACCTACTATATAATGAACAATACCATACAAAACAAATGACATCACATTAATGTGCGATAACATGCAACTTCTCGAGCATTTACATGTTGTTTTTGTAGAATATTAAAATTTTATTTCCTACGTTTTACTGACTTTAGCAATCTAAAAAATAATAAAAACTAAAAGAAAGCTAATGATTGCTGTTTAAAAAGTTAAAGTTAGAAAATAAAATGGAAATTTAATTCAGCATTATGTAAATGACACATTATCAATGATTTCTAAAGCTAAATAGCTATGATTCATGAAATGATTCGATTTTTTAAATTGAAATTGCACGGAACTTCTCGGCAATTATAAGATTGTTATTGTTATGTAATGACACAAAGAAATAGGGATTAGTCAAGTGTAACATATTAGAAGGTCTAAGAATTTAGTCATGCAAAACTATTAATACACTAAGGCACATAAATGAAAGCTTAAAGTAACTTTTATTAAGTATGCATGTACATCATATGAACCTAACACCTGTTTCAGTATTGACAGGAAATGATGGTGGTGATAATTTTCACTCAGGATCAAGGCAGTATGCCACATCATATTTACCAGAGCTCAGTTCAGTCATTGCATCGTTTCTGGTCAGGCTGTCAAGCAGTTTACCAGTACTAGTTGCCTTCACTTTCGCAAAGAACTAATAATTTATGTGCATGCAAGAGCAGTGCGAATGACCATAGAAAGGTTTTCATGATCAATAAAAACAAAAGTGACCTGTGCAGTCCGAAAATCGAACCCGGGTATCCCAATTCACCCTCCAACGTTTTGCCTATTGAGCTAACAGGACAGCTCTGACAGAAGAGATAATGGTTCAGGTGTCATTTTACTCATTGTATTTTGTGAGCTGTTTAATGATTTTTTACAGACAGACGTAGCCATTATCTGCAATACATCATTTTCAACATCAGCTTGATTGAAGCGTTTGGCTTCTGTAAATGTGTTCTTATAGCTTTTATGAGACTTCTTTCAAAGTGATTTTCGAAACAGTATTTTAAAACTGCATACAGGGTTAACTTTCCCAAACTTTCAAGCCGGAAGGTGTTTGGCCGCAAACGTCTTCCGTAAAATATGTTTAGTGTTTCAAAAGGGTATTTTTTGTAGCGGAACATATTTGCATTTAAGCTTTGACCTAATTATGTAAACTTAACACACACTGAATTATAAACCAGTTCACAGATTAATTTACATGCATTCTGATGAAATGTGTATTAACAACATTCGTTTCCTTTCAAAATATTCCCCAAGTGATTGTCTATGTTGACACAAAAACAATAAAACGCACTTAAGAGGAGAGCAAAAATTAACTCCAGTTATGCAATAGTAATATTTAACAGGAGACTGCAGTAGGATAGTATGAGCTTTAATTACTTAAGATATTAATTCTTTTATTTTCGAAATATAACAAGAAAGAACATTCGCCGATCTTTCAAGGAATGTACTCATTCACTTCCCTTATTAAATGCTCTTATTCACTGTCAATTTTGACCGGAATTCTTTTCCGTTAATAGCAAATATAAAACTGTTTTTCTTGCCATATGTAGATTGCATTTATGATAAGTCAATAAATGTAAAATGAAACACTAAGTAAGCTTACATATTCTTCAGCAAAGGCAACATTTGAAGAAAAATAAAAACTGTTTAAACATAGAATGTTTCATAAAATATAACATAGAAAGTATTTAATGCACAAGCGTTGTTTTTTATTTTTAAATCATGTCAACCGTGTTTGTAGACAATTTCTACAGCTCCATTAATTGACTAGTCAATTCTTGATATCTGTTTCTTTCTTCTTCATACAGTATTCCGCCAAGAGTCCATGCTAAATCAAACATAAAACAAGACTTATGATATACTTGTTTGTCTTACATACCCTTTAAACAATGTAGTACATGATTATGAATTGAAAACAAGCAACGAAATATTTCCAATATTTTGAGAAGTTGGCTGCAAATGCAGATAAAATATATCACCTTCATAATACAGAACAAAAAAATAAATAAATAAGAAAATATCGATTTAAATGTACAGACATATTTACATATTCCATATTTACAAGACTCTGCTTCCATGATAATAATATAAATTATAATATTAATAATCTTTTTTTAATTTGAAATAACATTTTTGGGTGCACTGATGTTTGTGTGCGGGTAGAAAAACAAACAATTTTTTTTTTTAAATATTATGTTTTTTTTGTTTTTGTTTTTTTTTTGTTTTCTTTTTATAAGATAATGTTAATCAAATAGTTTGATGATTTTATTCATATATAAGAAGGTAAAATGAAACTAATGGTTGTTACTTTGCGAATACTTCTAAATTCAAAAAGTTCATCTTTCTATGTTCAAGTACAGTTCATTCAAAATGTTCTCCCGAAACCCAAAATTACATCACTCAAGGGAGCGTTTCTTATTCAATTGTAAGTCAAATATTTAGCAGCACGAGATAGAACCATCCATCATACGCTTGAGTTGACTTTATATCGGTGAACACTTGTATGACGACCTTCTTTATTCGATACAGAGATGCCATAATCACAAATGTAAAAGAAATAAACATTACCAACTTAGGAGCCTTGCATGTCTTTGGCTGCAAAAACATTGTCAATGTCTAGACCAACTGCAGAGAACAACAATGGAATGTAGAGTCCATCCTGGCAGTTCCTAGAGGCGTACTCTTCAGACATTCCCATCACCGTCGTTGCATGCTCGTAGCTCTGTCAAATTACATGTATATAAAGGTAGTATAAGTAAATGTAACTTAAACTTCCCATTGATGCAAACTAGCCTCTTTATATTCACCGTAACTCAAACATACGTATATCATTACTAAAATAAAGCATTGTGACATTTTTCGTTGTCAAGTCGAGCTGAATACGATATATATTTCAAGAGACTGGCTGTTTACATGTTGATTGACCAATTATTGATAAGTCGAATTGTTAAGGGTGAAATATACAAACTACCTCAATTATAAAACTGTCCAACAATTTTATCAACTACATTCTGAAAGGTATTTATAGACATTTCCGTGTGCTACGTTAGTTATTGAATATTCATTAAAAGTAGATTGAGTATGAAATTGGAAACAAATATGGCAAAATGAGCACTTGTATTGCCTTTTACCTTTTCTCCGAATGCTTAGACTTGGAAAGGCACTTCAAATAAACTAAACAAAAACCAAAATGATAAAGGTTATAATTAGTTTGAGTCATTTTATAAGATAAAAGCGTACAAAATCATGATGGACGATAATGTATGAGGAATCATATACCGCTAAAGGTAGAATTATGTTAAAAAACAACGTATGTAAATATTTCTTTTTCTGTTTCAATATATTTACTTTAAAAAATAATCACGGATTTGGTTATTTAGGTACTTTGGATTCGTGACAACTATTACAAATTCATCCCAGACAATTGCTAACGAATGAAGATCTATCACGTATCAATACTTAAAGAAATTTAATAAATGGATGAGCGGTTGTAAAACTTAAGGTCAACACTTTATCAGCAAATGAGGATTTTCCTCACATTTCCAACTTTTAGATATTTGATATCCTCGTCTTATCAAAGCAGAATTTTATATTAATTCATTTTAAAAAATTGACAATATATTGTATAAATTGTTTGATGTTAAATGCACATTATGTCTCAGAAACGAATAGCTATTTACTTCTTTAGAAAGGTCAAATATGAGTGTTGTAACGTTTAGAAAACCTTAAGTTAAGATTATAGAGCATGTTTGATGTTTGTTACCTGAGGAAAATAGCCAGTAATGAAAAATTATTTGTTATAAAATTAGCAAAATGTAAACAAAATATTAAATCACTATAAAATGTACTTATTGCTAAACAAAAACAAAAGACAAAAACAACAGTTCATATCATTGGCTAATGAGTTACTTGCTGGAAACTATAAAACAATACAAAAATGGTTTAAACATAACAACCATTTCATTTTTCTTTCATGAGTGACATAAAAGTTCAGCAGCTCTGCTTACATTTTTTTATGTTTTAGATCGAAATATGACACCAATGGCAAACTCATTCAAAATGATATATAATTGTTTTATTTACCAAACAAAAACAGTGTTTTACCTGTTCACAATATTCCCTGACCGTATTTTGCATCTGTTTAAGATTCAAAATTCCTGGTTTCGTAAGAATTTTGAAGTCCATCTCTAAGTAGTAAATCAGGCCAAATGTAAAGAACTTTCGTTTTTTGACTGACGGTTTATAGACCTGCCCAATCGAACACGGCTTTGGAGAACACATGTCGGCGTCGGCTGGTGCCAGGTGATATTTTTTTTAGTAAGTCTTCACATAATGATGCATTTCCACCTCCGATCATTGCCACCATCTTATTCCCTAATGTCCCATTTCTTGAATCACCTTAAGTTGAAAATAAATCAATGGTATATTTACATAATAACTAAAAATTCAATTATTCAACATGGAAAAAAATATCATAACGACGTATATTTATGATGATAAGATTTTGAAACGAGAAGGAAACATGTAATACAATGCTGCCTAACCAATAATTGAATACTGTATTCCAATTATTTTAGGTAAGCGCCTTCCGCTATGGAAACATATTGTATTCTTGGATTGCGAGTATAGAGAGAACAAATTCGCAACTGTGATACTAGTAATACATTTGCCAACAGCGAAGTAATATTCGCGAAGTTCGTGGCCGCTATAATTTCACGAGTTCGTCCCCGCGAAAACGTCATCCTTATGAAAACGCGAAATATTGTGATCGCGAAAGTTGCTAAAAGTACAGTAACAGAAAGCCGTGCATCTACCTTTAAGCATACATGGATTGATGATAACGTTTGCATGTTTATTTTCTTGTATAAGTAACTCTGTAATTCTTTCAAACATTAAGGTAGCGCCGTATGATAAATAGCTGTGACAATATACTCCATACTCATTCCCAGCAATCGTAGCGGGCATTTTCTCGGCCTAAATTGGATCATCCGGAATGAACGCTATTTGTGCGGATCCTCGACCGAGCTCAATTAATAAGCTGGCTTTATCAAAAGGCAATTAATGTACGGATTATAAAGTCTAATTAAATAGTAAATTGTATACAAATTACCGTTGAATTTAGTTTTGCTTTTACATTATATATGAATCTTACCAGTGAATTATTATCAACACTTACACAGCAGAGGATAAAGTTAAACATTATGAGATAGTTTCAGATGTAGAGAAACAGATAATAAACTGTTACGAAATATTGGAAATTAAATTATTTAGGAAACAAAGAATATGGGAGACAAAATAAATCTATGTATACACTGGCCAATCCGTGACAAGTGTTAGAAGTAATAAAAATCAACCGAAAGTAATAAAGTGCGTGTTTATTATTCCAAACTGACACCGAAACCACAGCTCGAAGCAGAAAATATTGACTCATTAACCTAAGATGTCTAACAAAATACTTGATTTATAATTGAAGTTCATTGTATTCTCTGTTAAATCCACATGATTATACACCGTTTACATAATCAAAATACATAAACAACTCCTGTAATTTCAATCTATTACTTTATCCAGCCGATGAATTCACGTAAGATTTGTGGTTGTGAGATAGAGATAGAAGATTTCCGACTTTATTCCCAGTGGAAAAGACAAAATTGACCAACATGATATAATTTGTCTGCCATACTTCCATGTTTGAATAATTGAATCTTCTTATGAAAGATAGAATAAATGTGAGAAAAAAATAATATAATGCTACAAGAACGTATCTTCTCCTATCGCAACAATCTGTATGATCCCATGCATGTTTTTCATGGAATAAATTCATTTTAAAATATTAAAAAAAATAATAGAAATAGCAAATGACTTAAAGGTACACATAACAACAAAAACATACTTATTGAAGCATATGTAGTATAGAACAAAATCCCTAAATTGAACATGTTGCAGATCGGTTTGACCCAGTCTGCTCATGGACGGTACTGGAAAGTGCAAGAAATATGATAAACAAGATCAACAAGAAAAGGCGGCGTTCAATGAACGCAACCCCCATACGACTCAGCAACAAGAACTAGTGGCAGGAGCCCAGGCACTGGCTTAAGCAGAATTCAACATTTAAAATGAACTGACGACATTTTGAATTTCGAAACATCCGCAGATGTGTTCATATATATGCTTTTTTATATGCATCATCCTACATCAAATGCAATCGTCAGAGCTTTTCATCTAGCAATAAAATAAACAGAATTGTGAATAATTAACTCTCTAAGGTATTTATTTGCAATTATTTTGCGTGGAAAGTAGTGTTTGGTTTACTTGTTTGTATATTAAAATGCATTATTTAGACAGATATAATATCATTACTCAAAATAAATATTTCAAAGAAGCGCCTGAATGTAATTTTAAGCCTTTTCCTTGACGTATATTTTGGAAATATTGCAAAATGTAATTACATGTATATTTATTTTCATTTTAAATAAACAAAGAGCTTATGCTCATTAAAGAAAAGCCTTGTAAAAAGATGGTTGACCTGTTGACTTTTCTCTTTCTCATTAACGGGAAAAGCCACGGGGCCTTAAGAGAACTAGTTATTATACAATTTTATGGTATCTGAGAGGGATAAAGTTATCATAAACATCATTAAATTCATAATTTGATTGACCACATTTTGCTACAATATGTTTTCGCAAAACATACGAGGAGTACTTTGAAATTGAAAAAAAAAACGCTGTATTTTTCCTGAATGTTGTATAAACCAAGACTTGTATTTAACCTTACTCAAAGATTATAAAATTTTGTCACAATTTTACCTTTTTGCTGCAAAAAGTCATTGAGATAATTAACAGTAAGCCATGCAAAAAGACCTTCTTCTTCCCGGCAAATATGTGACCATTTTCCTCTTCAAACTGGAAAGGATTTTCGTCTATGTTTAGAAGTACTTACTTCACTGCGGACATTATAGATGATGTGGTCTCTTCGTCCAGAAGACGGAGTCATTTGTATTTGTTGCATTAACATTCTTTTTATGAATATTTGTTTTCGTTTGCACGTTATGCTTCAAAAACTATTAAAACTTTCCCTCTTAAGAAAGGGCAAACAGGAGTTTTATAACATTCAAATAATGAATTTAGAGCATTTTAGATGCGTATTCCCTGAAGAAAGTAGCATTGGGTGTGAAAATATTTGTCATAAAATTAGTAAAATGTAAAGAAAGTAGTATTTGGACCTCCATACTCCAGAAGTTAAAAAATAATTATAAATAAAAGCATTTCTTGGGTATAATGGTTTAAAAATACTTCATTGTTATGAGTATGAAAGATTATACATATGCTGTAAAAACGAAGAATTCTGCACATTTTGAAATAAAATATCTCAACGGTTCTATCGTATTAAACTGGGAACAAATGCATTTCATACCACTAATCATACTTACCCTGCACAGACCGGAACACAGCGTTGAAATTTACGTGACATTTCTTTACATTAAAAATGGGTCACTGCTTATGTTATTTTGCTAATATTTCGTTATTTGAATAATAAACATACTCCTTGTTCAACGTAAATATTTGCCAAATCTAATGGTATATTACCTTCCATTGTAACTCTTACTTTTCCCGTTATTCTTTTTAAATGTTCTTTGCGAAAACAATGATAAAAATATGCGTCTCAAATTAAAGCAAACATATTAATATCAAGAACAGTACAAGAGCTACTGTAACATTAAAAAATATACCGTTGGAATTGGCACATATTTCCCTGGAACATGGTGTATGTTTATTATTCAGTTAATAAAAGACAAAAATTAACAAAAATCTTTAGTGGCGACCCAACATAACCGTATCAAAAAAATGCTACGTGATCACCAACTCTGACTATCATAATGTGTGTTCGAGTTCATTTAAACACAAAATTGCCGACAAGTCCAAACTCCTTAAGTATTGTCAGCTTATTTTTATATGTAAATAAAATTATTGTAATGAACAAGCTTAATCAGACCGAACCTGCAACATTTTCAATTTCGTTATTTTGTGCGTTCTTTAGAGATTCTTTAATTCTCTCTATTTTGCCAATTTATGATGTAAAGCACGTGATGGATATAAATAATTGTATAAGTTAACATTTCCTCATTTGCCGACACAAACAGATGAAATAGTTCACACAGGAGCCATGAAAATATACTAGCCTAGCTAATAAGTTCAGAGGGCACTTAACGAGATAGGGAATGTTTAGACTCTTTACATATAGATATATACATAGATAGTATCTTTAAAAAAAACATGATTAAAAATAAGTCGATTTTACAGCCCTTAAATAATAAATGTATGTATTCTGAAAAGAAGGCGTAAAACAATAAAAAATGAAAATTATACTACGTGTGTAAAAGACCATAATTTGAAAGAGATACTTAACATTTTTAATTTTGATTGTTTTTCTTAAAATATACGTCTTATTTTTTTAAAGATTTCTTAATCTGCCACTAATGTAAAACATTTCAAGTTTAAGCACATTGTGGCTCAATGCTGTATTTGGATAACATTGTATACAAATACAAATGATACAAAATGTTACTCGAGCAAAAAAGTGATTATGAAGTCGTACAACTACTTTTTTATAAGGACACGTTACATGTTGTAACTTTTTTCCTAAGGCTTACCTTATGCAAAGCTGCAAAACATAGTTGGCAACATTGACAATTTAATAAGACCTTAACTAAACAGTCATATAATATAACAGAAATCACAAAACTGCAATTGTAAAAATGTTCTGATAGAAATAAAGCAAAAAACTCTTTTTCCGAAAAAAACCCCAAAGGCCCCAAAGGGACGCAGTTATACAATAGAGATGAGATAAAAATTTTTTGGGTTTGTTTTTAAATTTTATTTTTTTCAATTTAATCTTCTCGAAATTTATTGTGAACAGTTAAAAGTTTCGTTTAAAACTGCATGCCCCCATAGAAAAAAAATTTTGAACATTGAACTGGAGAAAAATTCACAAGATTTTAAAAAAAATTAAGCAAAAAAATTTTAAATTGTTATGTGGGATTAAAACTGATTTGAAAATTTTTTATTTACTTTTTTTGCGACTAACACAGAAAGGCCATTTTTTTATTATGACCCCCCTTTTATTTTATTTTTATTTAAAAAACTTTTTTTTAAAAAAAGAAAACAAATGCTGAGAACCGAATGCAGTGTATATCAAACAATTTTAATTGCTCGCGGCTATTTTTTATAATTAAGCCTAATCTATAAGATTGTAAAAAGTAACTACTGTCTGTCTCTTAAATATTATTTGCATCTCACC